TTCTTAAAGGTTATGCACAGAAGATAAAAGCAAGTCACCTGGCCATACCTAAGTTCAACAGTGTTAATGTATGCTGCTTCTGCAGAGAGGAGCAACAGACCTTACAAAAGCAGGCTATGTGCCAGAGTTGACTCACAAGTCATAGTTTGCAAACTCTAGTCAAAAGCAATGATTCACAAACTTTAACGTGTATCAGAATCATGTACAGTGCTTGGTAAAATATAGATTTGCTGGGCCCTACCCTCAGAGTTTTTTAATTCAGAAAGTTTCAGAGAGGGACTGAGAATCTGGACTTCTATGAAGTTCCTATGTGATGTGATGTTGGTGGTCCAGGAATCATACTTTGAGAACCACTTGTCTACAGAAGAAAAACTTAACAGGTATGCCTGCAGCTCATCTGCCAATGTAGAGAAACTTATTTCAAGATGAAACACACCACAGCTTTGTCAAGTATCAGTTTTCCTAAATGGCAACTCCCCAAAAACCATACAAATTATTTAAAGTAAACCAAGGACTTAATAAAGATTCCTCTATTCTGAGAATTGTCCAATGTATGGGTACCCTCACTATTATTATTGCTAGCCACTCTGAAAAGATCAGGCTAATTAAGTACTGTTTGTACAGGAAGGTTTGTGTGGATGTTTGTGAGAGAAAGAATAAAGTTTCATCATCAATCAATTTAATAATATTAACAAATCTAATATGCTAAAATTAGAAATAAAACCAGGATGAGGAAAAAGGGAAAGGCCATTTTATGCAACTGTTACAGAGAGTAACACAGTACAAAAAACGCAAGTGAAGAAAGTAATTGGGGTTATACACTGAGAAACAGTGCCATATGAACAAAGCTGAGTATATAAGAAAAGTTCAAATTACGACAGGGATATACCATGGTAGGAAGGGTAACTGACATTCTAGCTATTGTGTTTGGCATAAGACAGGACTAAAGCAAGCAAACAGTAAACCATATGGCTATTTCCGGGTTCTTATTTGAAAATACCAGAAGCTAACTCTGACCCATAAAGTGAAACGGTAATTTATTAAAGGAATGGGGATGAATAAAGAATCAAGTTAATGGTTAAGCTTCTCAAGAATAAAGTCTACAAGCCATACTACAGAATTGGTCAGGGGAGGAAAACCTGCTGCTGTTCTCACTGGATTCTCTTGTGCCAAGAGCTTTTCTCTATTGCAACTGTTAGCGGCCCAGCACCAATACCATTGCTGCATCAGCAGAGCTATTTTTCAACAGTTACTATTGCCTCTGAACACCAGATACCTCCACCATCAACTCCACAGAAACATAATCTGAGTGCAGTGCCTGCTTCTTTGTTCAGTCTGTATTGCGGTTTTCTGAAAACGAATATGAGTGGCAGAGTCTACGTCACACAGTTCATGCCATACCTACCAGTGAGACTGGGAAAGTCAATTTTATGGCTTACCTTAGGGAGGTAGACATAGTTATTCCCAGATAGTTACTGAAAAGGTGGAAGAGTGAGAAAACATAATACATATCTGCCACAAAATGTTGTATCAAGCATACAAAACTCATCTAAATTTCACCACTTTCTGTTCCCACCTAACTCCTTTTCCAATATATTTTAACATAAATAGAGAATATCAGAGATGGATACACCTTTCCAGATTCCATTTCACTAATGAGAAACCTGATGCCCAAAATGATCAGATGATTTACTTAAGTTTACATGGCTACTTAGTAGAAAGAAATTATGCTTTTTCAACTCTTAGCATATTTTCTATCATGCAATGATCAAGAAGGCACACTTCAAACTGTATCTTAAATGTTAAACTTTACTCTTATTCTCAGGAAAACTACCTGTTTAGTCCTCAGAAAATCATTTTGGTAACATTGGTCTTTTTTTTTTCTCTCAATCAGTTCCTGCAAAACTAGCTATCAAACTAAATTTTATATGCAAAATTTTATTTTTCTATTATCTATTTTTTAAAAAAACTGTAAGCTTAAATGTGTTTTAATTGCAGTTTGCAAATTCTTTGGCTGGATTAAAACTTTTCCTTGCCAAAAGGCTAATATTCTTGCAACAACAAAAATGACAACAATAATAAGTAATTATTCAAAAGCTACTAGAAGGCCAGGCATGGTGCCTCATCCCTGTAACCTCAGCATTTTGGGAGACTGATGTGGAAGAATCGCTTCATGCCAGGAATTCAAGACCAGCCTGGACTAAATAGCAAGATCCCATCTCTTAAAAAATAATTAGCCAGGCCTGGTGGTGTGCACCTGTAGTCCTATTTGAGAAGCTGAGATGGGACTGCTTAAGCCCAGGAGTTTCAGGCTGCAGTGAGCCATGATTGCGCAACTACAACCTAGCCTGGGTGACCCTGACTTTTCCCAGAGTGACAACCAGACTCTGGGAAAAGAAAAGCAACTAGAACAAATGTTTCATTATGAATATATCTCTTACAGATATATTATTACACTTACAAAAATTAGAGCCAGACTCACCCAAGTAAACTATAATCACAAGATCTCCCCACAAAGTTAATGTTAAAACTTAAGCAAAGAGAACATTAATACTATAGTACGGATAGAATACATACTTTCTATTGGCATTATATTTTAATGACTAAACAACTGATAGCACAGAAGCCAAAAGCAAGTAATGAGATTTTGAGAAGGTGGAAAGAGAAGGAAAGCAAGAAAGAGGAACAATTACATACAGGGTACTGAATTTGAGAAGCAAATCAACACAGAAAAACATTCTCAAAAAGCAGAAGATGGACAGTTTTATTCAAATATAAATGTTTTATCTTTAGAGGGGAAAAACAGGCACTGGGGCCTATCAGAGGGTGGTGGGTGGGAGAAGACAGAGGATCAGGAAAATTATTAGGTACTGGAATTAATACCTGGGTGATAAAATAATCTGTAAAGCAAACCCCCATGACACAAGTCTACTTATATAATAAACCTGCACATGTGTAAACCTGAACTTAAAATGAAAGTTTTTAAAAAAAGTTATGTCTTAAAAGCTATTTATTTAGCATTTTTTCCTTTTTTGAAAACACTCCTCAAAAATGTATTGCACTGGTTGGCAGAAAAAGATTACAGAATCAATGACTATAAGCTAACACACATAATGTAGGTCCATTAAAAACTGCTTAGTTTGAACAGAGATAAAACAGTATTATTTTCTTTGGCTTCATTTTGTGAAATGAATAAAATGAAAACAGAATTGGGAACAGATAAATTACATACCTCTTGATGACACAGTCTTTCTCTTCTAATTTAAATGAATTATTTCTATATAAGGGCGTATTTTCCACAGAATAACTAGTGATCACTCAGACCAAATAATGAAAAAGTTTAGAAATCATATTAATAACTGTAGATTATTCAATTTTATGAAAAATTTGTTCTTTTCCCCCTGAAATATTGCCTGTACTTTCTTTTTTTCTTTCCTCTTATAAGCTGCTATTATTTTAAAATAATACTTATTTAAAATTACTTAAAACTTAAATTGTTCTAAAATAATTACCATTTTGGTATTTCTCCAAAAGGGTAATTTTGAAAATTTAGAAGGATAACAAGTTTTCAATTTTCCCAATAGAGATTAAGTCTTGTCCTATAAACCCATATGATTATACCATATTTACCATCATTTTGTACTTAAAAACATTGAAATCACTTAGTTAAGCTGGTATGGTATGACTGTGTATGAAGGTCCTACAAGATAAAAAGTTGCCTGGTGTAAATGCAGTAAGACCCTAAACTACTTGGACTGAAGCTTACACATTTAAAAGCTTTAAACAACCCTAAAATACTATACTTTTGTTTTAAAATATAAATCTATTCTAAAATCCGTATATTTTAAAAATGCTTTTTATTCAATACAACAGAGAAGAATATAAACCATAATGCACATTTATAGCATATCACAGATTTTTTATCATAATCTAAATAACTATGTGGCATAATGTATCTTCCTAGTTTAAATAAACAGTGCAGACATTTCTCTCCTGTGATTTGCAATGCCTTGTGGGAACTTAGTTAAAAATATGAAGAGAGAGAGAGTGATTTATATGTGATTATCATCTGGAGGACAAAAAGAGAAAAGAGAGAACTAGCTCAAAGTACTAAGCTTAAGGGTTCTCCCGAAATACTTCAAAATCTTTGTTTAAAAAGGGTTGAAAGTCGGCCTGGGGCAGAGGCTCACACCTGTAATCTCAGCACTTTGGGAGGCTGAGGTGGGCGGATCACAAGGTCAGGAGTTCAAGACCAGCCTGGCAAACATGGTGAAACCCCATCTCTACTAAAAATACAAAAAATTAGCCGGGCATGGTGGCATGTGTCTGTAATCCCACCTTCTTGGGAGGCTGAGGCAGGAGAATTGTTTAAACCCAGGGAGACAGAGGTTCTATTGAGTGGAGATTGCGCCATTACACTCCAGCCTGAACGATAGAGCAAGATTCTAGCTCCACAAAAAAAAAAAAAAAAAAAAAGGTAAACAGTCTAATGAGGCCAGATTTTTTTTTTTTTTTTTGTAACTTTAAAGTAATTTCACAGAAGTTCTGGAAATATATCCAGTCATGACCTAGGTAGCAGTGCATATTCTGTAAGAGCAAATCCTTTCTGCACTACAGCAAATAAAATATGGGGCTAATCCTTCTTAATGTATCACCTACTTTTAACCTGGAAAAAAAAATACTATAAGGGGTTTGGATGACTTCATAATCAAATATTTAATAAATGTTCAACAACAACAACAAAAAATGTAAAACCCTGGGCCAAAACTCTGCGAATGATAAAATAAAAGACACAAATCACAAATTATCTTCAAGGGTAACTTTTATAGGTAAGAAAAAGCTATCTATGTATCCAGGACTTAGAAATTTTTGTAAAGGCATGATTACTAAGTAAAAATATAGACTGACAAACTTGTTGTGTTGACTAAAGATTTTAAAAGTTATGCATACTATAAACCATGAACATAAATTCTATTCAGGCCATTTGATGAGATACTCACAGAATGATTGTAAGAAGGTTCCAATATCACAGGCAATGACATTTTCCCTTGAAGATTCAATTTTGTTAAATAAAAAATCTTTTCCCCCACAATCTTTTCTTTTTTCATGCGATGTACACCATACAGTCTAAACCGAACTGCATAATTTCCAATCATCTCAGATTCAACATGATTAAATTTAAATGTTTCTGTGAAGACAGGGCATGGTCCTCTCTGGATGCTGGTTTTTGCTCTCTGTTTCTTTATAGGTAGAAGAACAAGGTGTACTTGCCATGAGTTGCCACCTGTCCTGTTATACGTTGGGATGTCTGTGACAGCTGTCACTGTTACCAGAAGCTTCTGTTCTTGTGAGTCATAGTCAAAAGTCACATCCAGTGTGCCATATTTAGCTTCTGGCTCAGGATCAAAAGGTTTAGGAAGCTGTGAAGATGATCCCTGAGCTGACATATCCTAAGAAAAGAAAATTTAAATGTTAGAGTTTTAACTCAATTATTTAACCTAGCATGTAAATAAATACTTGGTATTTCTTTAGGAGGTGAAAGCAATTCTGCCACTAAGAAAGTAATACGATAATAATTAACAGTCAACTACAACCAAAAGCTACCCTACAGGGCCAGGTTTATATAAGCAGTAAGTTAAATTAAAAACTTATGATAATAAAGACATATTTAGAATTTAATATTCACCATCACAATTTTGAGAAAGTGTATGTTTTTATAAATGAGAATTTAAAATATATCCTTTAGTGGGTATATCTGCTCCTTTTGTAGAAAACAACTACATTTTACTTTCAATTTTATAAACAATGCCACTGACAGCACAGTATCAGGCTGCAGAGAAAGGAAACATAAATACAAGTATAATGCTATTGAAAAATTTGGTTCCATTTTCAGAGTTTGTTCTAAAACACCCCCATCTGTAATAAAATATAAAGATATTTTGACTTAAATCAATGGAAATGTGAAATACAAAAATACAAATAAAAGGCCTCAAAATGTTAGCAGTCAAATATTTATTCTACATAACACAGGTTTACTTCAATTTCTAACCAAAATTAAAAACATACTATTTTCTAACATTAATGACGATTGAAAATGGCAGAATACACATCACAAAAGTCCAAGAAAGGCTGAAATGGTACATTTAATTATGAAATTAAAAGAAATTATAACCATTTTTCCTATGATTGTCTCAAATTCCTGCCAGTCTATCTATCTAGAATATAACAGGAATTTTAGCTAGTTACTGACAATATCAAACCTAGGTCTCTAACCTTTCAATTATACCACTTTGCCTCTTTAAGTATTTTAATAAATCTCAAATAATTCTCATTTTAAATGTGGACCAATTTAATAAACTTTTAAAATTTTCTGAACTTTGAGTGGCACCGAATACTACTGAATCCCAGTCTTCTCTTCTTCCATTTACTAAAAACAAACAAAAACCTTCCTGAGTGTTAGCTAGAAACACTACCTACAAGATTTGGGAAGCCAAGGCAGGCAGATCACTTGAGGTCAGGAGTTCAAGACCAGCCTGGCCAACATGGTGAAACCCAATCTCTACTAAAAATACAAAAATTAACTAGGTATGGGTAGCAGGTGCCTGTAGTCCCAGCTACTCAGGTGGATGAGGCAGGAGAATCGCTTGAGCCAGGGAGGCAGAGGTCTTAGTGAGCCAAGATTGTGCCAGTGCACTCTGGCCTCGATGACAGTGAGACTCTGTTTAAAAAGAATGCTATCCACAAGAGACTACTTCAGTACCTCTATTACAGTTCATATGACTACATGACTCAGCTTTGGCCAACGGGAGGCAAACATGATTTATGTGTGAAACATCTAGATCAGATTTATGTAAGAAATTACTTGCCCTCCACTCTCTGTCTCACTCTTCCACAAGCAGATATACAAATAGGATGTGTGGGTCAGCTTAGACCATGTAGACTAGGACAGTACCCCAAGGGAAGGCAGAGCAACAGAAGAGAAGGAACGGGGTCCCTGAATAATCTCATAGAGTAAAGCTCCCTGCTCTCTCTGGACTGTTGTTAAATAAAAGAGAAATAAATTTCTGTGTTCTTCAGCCATTGTATTTAGTGGGGGCTGAGGAGTCTTTTTGTTGTGGCAGCTTAATATGTACTGTAACTATTGTACCTACTATGTGCCAGGGCCTATTTTAGGTCAGGAGAGTGCTACTTTCTGCAAAGAGAACCAAAAAGACATGAATCCCTATTTTTTTTCCCCCCCCCCGACACAGGATCTTGCTTTGTCAACCAGGCTGGAGTACAGTGGCACAATCACGGCTCACTGCAGCCTTGACCTCCTGCTTCAGCTTCCTGAGTAGCTGGGATCACAGGCACATACCACCACACCTGGATAAATTTTTATATTTTTAGTAGAGACAAGGTCTTGCTATGTCGCCCAGGCTGGTCTCAAACTCTTGGATTCAAGCAATCCTCCTACCTCTATCTTCCCAAAGTGCTGGGATTACAGGTGTGAGCCACCATGGCCAGTAGTCCTTGGTCTTAGAAATCTTACATGCTAGTTGGTATAATGTATGGGAGGAAAGAAAAACAACAGAAGAACAATATTTGCAGAGAAGGAATAAATCCCCATAGGAGAATTCAGTTTTTAATGTAGTAGGAGAAAATCAAAACAAACATATTCTTTTTTTTTTTTTTTTTGAGACGGAGTTTCGCTCTTGTTACCCAGGCTGGAGTGCAATGGTGCGATCTCGGCTCACCGCAACCTCCGCCTCCTGGGTTCAGGCAATTCTCCTGCCTCAGCTTCCTGAGTAGCTGGGATTACAGGCATGCGCCACCATGCCCAGCTAATTTTTGTAGAGACGGGGTTTCACTATGTTGACCAGGATGGTCTCGATCTCTTGACCTCGTGATCCACCCGCCTTGGCCTCCCAAAGTGCTGGAATTACAGGCTTGAGCCACCGCGCCCGGCCAACAAACATATTCTTATTCTGTTAAAAAAAATTTACAATTTAGAGCAAAATGTTTTAATGTATACTACTTCATAATTGGTAACTGAAAATTATTAGTTATATAATCTTTGGTATTGCAATTAAATATTTTCTAAAACAGTATCATGACAGCTAAGATTTTCAAGCAATAAAAATGTTTATCAGGTCCTAGACAGCTATTTTTGAATTTTGTTTCTCTTGATGTTTCCCTCATTGTTTTTTTTTTTCCCAAACATTCCAACAATTCTTGTGAAACCCAGTGTTGAAAGGGTAGAACCTTTACAGATAAAAGATATTATTTGCATTCTGAATATAGGCAATAAGCAACAGTCCTTCCTTTCAAGGCATCTGGATCAGTTTTTAAAAAACCTTTAGATAGCAATAGGTCATCAAAAGTGTTTATAAAACTCCTTCCCATGGAATTCTTCTGAACCTTCTCTCCTCTCTCAGTTTAATCATGTATGTGGATAGGCTCTAAGATAGCTACAGCCTGGATTAAACCAAGAGAAAAGTGAGAATTTTCTGTCTGACATATAATATCTATTACAAGGATGTAAAATAAACTTGAAAAAACACAAAAGTGAATTTTATATTAGCATAGGCTATAAGCATTCATATATAAATATTTATGTAATGTGCATTAGCTATACTGTTTGAGTATATTCAGTGCTGTTAGAGAAGACACAAAAATAAACAGGATGGAGGAAATTCCAAATAAGTGGTTACAGACAGCAAGTCAGCAGCTTCTGAAATATGGGCAAAACTCACAGTATGTGTTAACTATAGATAGTGGGCAAAGAAGCAGCTTGTGAGACACAGGCAGAATTCTTAAGATATTAAATATAAACAGTTAATAACTTACAACATATGCCAAAGATAGACAGATTTAATAAAAAATACGATAAATCAAATGAGTGTTACCTATAGAAAGGGATGAAACACACAAGCCATGATCATGTAGCCTCTGCGCTAATAGCTCTGTCATCCATGTGCTCTACTTAAGAAATGCATATAAAACCTACAACTGCCTAGTAGGCTAACTGACAAGTTTCAGTGGTGGCCAGGTGTATAACTATATCTTTCCCACAAACAAGTGCGTGCTGTCGGCTCTTGGTACCCTTGTTCAAATCTCAACTCTGGTCCTTGTTACATCATAAATAGGAATGCTGATGGAAAAGAGACAGTGGACAGGATATATGGGCACTGCAAAAACCAGGACTCACATGGTGTGGTCCTGCTACCTCTACACACTTGCAGCTTATCTGTGTGTTAACTGATTTCATCTAGCTCCTCTTACTTCTTGCTTTGTATGTAAAACGCACACACACACACACATACACACTCTCTCTCTCACACACACACACTCACATACACACACATAATTTGAACATCTTACTTTGGTCTTTAGTCCTCTGAGAGAGTTTGCCTGGTGATGTTTGGAGGGTACCACTGAATCAAAGTAATTTCTCATACAACATTTTAGATGAAAAAACTCAATACAATATAGTTGTTAAGAGCACTGTTTTGGCAGTCAGACAGACCTGGGTTTGAACTATTGTTCCACTATGTAAGAGCTTCTTGTACTTGGTCAAATTGCTTAGCTCTCTGACTTTTAATGTTTTCATTTATAAAATGGAAATAACTTACTAAAGATGTGGTTGTTAGAATTAAATGAGCAGACTACATAAAGCTCATAGCAAAATTCCTGAAAAAAGTGGTGACAGGTATTATTGTTGTTGTTAATCCCACAGTCCAGACTTCACTGTTAACTTGTAGGCTATACATATAGTTTACAAAGCTACAAAATGGCTGTTTCAAATTTATTTAGGTAATGGAACATAAAAAAACATCCATCATGGAAAATCATAAAATAATAATATATTAAACTGTATCAATGTACAATTTTCTTCTGGGTCAGATACTGCAATACTAGAAATACTAAAAAAGCAGTAACAGATACAAAGTATTTTTAGCAATTATAGAAGAAAAACCTAAAATTAAGGAAATTCTATCCATAGCTTAATTGCTCTGGGTCTTAGGAAACTACAGCTATTATTTAATTTTGGCAGCAGATCTGAGAATTCATCTGGTGAGAATACAGACATATTTCAGTATTACTAAATGTTGTCTGGAAAAAAAGGTGTAAAAACTTGCAAGAACTTGCAATCTAAAACTTTTAAGTAGGCTGGGTGCAGAGGCTTATGCCTATAAACCCAGCACTTTGAGAGTCTCAGGCAGGAGGACTGCTGGAGCCCAGGAATTTGAGACTAGCCTGGGCAACATAGTGAGACTTTGTCTCTACAAAAAAAATTTAAAAATATGTGGGTGTGGTGGTGCACACCTGTAGTCTCAGTTACTTGGGAAGCTGAGGTGGGAGGAAGCTGCAGTGAGCTGTGACAGAGTGGACTCTGTCTCAAAACAAAAACAAAAAAACCCGAAAGTAAATCTAAAAACAAATACTAATTTATAAAACCTCTAGATTGCCTTTATAGTTTTCATCATGATATAAACATTAAAACAAATTCTTTTTCAAATACGATAATACTTCAAAACTGCCACAAAATTATCTTTGTTGTCACTTCCACATTTTTGCTCCAAAACAGTAAGTAAACTTAAAATTCAACCAAACAACATGAAGCCATGGATTCAAATTTCATTAATAAAGCTGATCATCATTTATTCTTTGTATTTTCTATGATATAAAAATACAACAAGGTTATTTTGAAAGGTTTGCGAAACACTAAGTAACTTCTCAATAGCAAAAAAAAATCCAAAATAAAATAAAAATAATACAAATAGTAACCTCAAGATAAAATAAGTAGGTAAATTATTCTAGAATGTTTTATATAAAGTTTTTTTTTTTTTTAAATCTTAAGTACCCATCCTCCTTTGGTGGTGGGGCTTGGGGTTGGAGAGTGGGGGCAGTTGAAGACTAGCTGGGACATTCCTGATAAGTTTGTTGGATAAAGATCAGACTAAAAATGGATACTGGTACCATAAGTCACAAAGGAACAAGATATTGATAAAATCAATTCTTCTTACCAAGATGAGAAGCACAGGATTATTAGCCTCCAAATAACACTTATTTTCAAACTTCTATGTGCTTTTACTTACTTCAGGGCTCAGGACTGCAGTGCTGTCACTTGGAACATCTTCTTCATATCCTTTATTATGATAACTTTCTATTTCATGACCTGTGCTTCCTTCACTTGGGCACTTGTTATATGAGCATCTTGGACTGTTGCTGCAGTGGGAAAATTCACATTTACTGTCCCCAATTTCTGAGGGTGTACATGACAGATGGGGAGAACCACTGTCATCCTGATATGGTGGTGGCTGCAATTCATCCAGCGGGGGTGTTCTTCTCATTCTCTGAATGCAGTTTCCTGATAATGATGAAGAATCTGGTCACTGTTTCCAATTAGCCTCAACATGCAGTACAGTCTACAATAATTTTAAGTAACTTTTGAAAATTGGATTAAAAAACTGATGGCAACATAACTATTAGATTTACTAATGACTTTTCTTTTTCCCTAGTTCAGAGGCACAAATAAAATAATCTGGTTTCCCATGCCTCTCCTCCTGCATAATAAGATTAGGAAAAATAAAAGTCATATATGAAGAAAGATCCTGTTACATACCATAAAAATGAAGAGTAATAAGTATTAGTTAAATAGCTTATTTATTTGTCTCTCTCAAAACAATCCTGATGTATACATACTTCATCTATTACCCTGTGATCTGTGGCCACCCTAGGGTCAAAGCAATATAAATATGGTTGGGAAAAACAAACATAAAACCTGTTTGATCTTAACCTATGTTTAGTAAGAACTCACCTATGTTCTTCAGTTACTGAGATGAACTTAAACTAGCATACTGCTAGCAGTGTCAGAAACGTTTTTCTACATTGGTCCTGGATCCAGAATCCTAAAATGAGGCGCACTGTGAATCAGACCCAATCCCTGTTTGCTAACATCCATCAACCAGCAAAGATTGGAGGCTGTGTTCTGTCTCATCTCCATTATAAGAGTATTCTATCCCACCCTACAACTGTGGCTGTATTCTTTGTAAAGTATGACTCCATCTTGTTTATAGCAGGCATCTCCACCTCTAGCATTTAATGTGAAACCACATTTTCTTTCACTGTTAAATTATCCTTTTAATTTTTACCTCAATGATTTATCTCAGTGGCTCAGAATAAACATATCTGTGAAAAAGGACAGAGTTAGGGGCAGCAGTGAAATAAGGAAATAGAGTCCAGTACATAACTTAAGAACACCTAAGTCTTTGTAGATAAGTCCTGAATGCAATACTAAACATCAAATTTAAACACTGCTCATTTTTTTTTCTTTTAATGAACTGGGCATCTCTTTTCTCAAAAGGGACCCTGGAAACAGTAGTTTGTATTATCATTGTTATGGAGTTCAGTTCAAATATTCAATAGTTCCTCTGTTCTTCCTAAGATAAAAAGGTACGTAAGAACTATAAGCCTCATTTAAAAATAACCACAATAATTAGTTCAAATGAAAAACAATAATTTGCACAAACTTGGCACAAATTTACATATTTGCTCAGAGTCCCTAATTTTGGCAAAAAAGAAAAACAATGTCTTAGTGAGTCTAATGGTATAACCATAGAGTCATCTCTCAGTACATGTGGGGAACTGGTCCTAACTCTACCATTCCCTCTCAAATAGCAAAATCCAAAAATACTCAAGTACGTATTATAAAATGGTGTAGTATTTACATATAACCTAAGCATATCCTCTCTCATACTTTAAATCATCTCTGTATTACTTATAATATCTAACACAACATGAACACTATGTGAATGTTGTTAAACTGTACTGTTTGGGGAATAATAAGAAAAAGTCTGTACATGTTGAGTACAGATGCAACTATCCATTTTTTTTTCAAATATTTTCCATCTGAGGTTGAATTCACAGATGCAGAACCCACAGACACGGAGGGCTGGCTGTACTAACTTTAGTTTATAACATAAGCAAAAAGTAAAAAAGTGACTGAATTAATATAGTTGAAGTTAAATTCGAGAAGACAGATTAGACATGTTGCAAGTCGCAGCCAAAAAAACCCACAGAATTCCAGAATGGTAAAAAGACAAGTGGTTTTAAGCAGTTAATTAGCTTGATCCATTTATGTGGGGTAGGTGAGTGTGTGTGGCTGGCACTGCTGGCAGACTGACTTGACTCCACCCATCACCTCTTTCTCTCCTATGCAGCATTCCAATTAGGAGTACCCAATGAGATCTACGCAGATTTCAGAGTGGACCTTCCAGGAAAGTTTTGTTTTCCTGATGAAAGCAGGCACACTCTACAGGCAAGTCCCTTTGTCCCTTTGTCTTTCCCCTGCCTCCTGTTTGGAGGAGTAGCAGCTACCTTGTGACCATTCAGTGACAAGCATAAGAATGAAAGCTAGGAAGGCAGAAGTAGGAAAATGAAAAGCCCGGGTACCTGAAACATCACCAAGTAGCTACCTCCAAACTTGATGCCCGAGACAAATCCCTTTTTGTTAAAGAAAAAAAAAAAAAGTTGGATTTTCTGTTTCCAAATATATTCTCAACGGATATAGTTTTTCAGTCATTCAACTGACATCCTCTACTCCTTTAAAAGTGCATGTTTAATTAGCCATTGAATTAAAGGGTAATACCTAAATACTGTAACATGAAGTCAATTAAACATTCTTCAATGTAAGCGGTTTTGGGAGTCAGCACACCATCTACTCCTTTACCTTTTTTTTTTTTTTTTTTTTTTTTTTTTGAGATAGAGTCTCACTCTGTCACCCAGGCTGGAGTGCAGTGGTGCGATCTTGGCTCACTGCAACCTCCACCTCTGGGGTTCAAGCGATTCTCTTGCCTCAGCCTCCTGAGTAGCTGGGATTACAGGCACCCACCACCACGCCTGGCTCATGTTTTGTATTTTTTAGTACAGACAGGATTTCACCATGTTGGCCAGGCTGGTGACGATCTCCTGACCTCGGGTGACCCCCTGCCTCAGCCTCCCAGAGTACTGGGATTACAGGCTTGAGCCACTGTGCCCCGCCTACCTTTTTTCTTAGAAGAGAGGTGATCTTTCCTAGAAGTCTTGAGCATAGTGCCTCACAGATCTCACTGCACAGAACTGGGTCACATGTCTATTCCTAAACTCATCACTGGTAGAAGAAATGGGATGGCCATAATTGGCTGAAATTAATCAGAAGCCATCAAAATTTGAAGCTGGGGAGGGGCCAGCTTCACTGTTCATATCTATATGGAAAAGAGTAGATGCCTAAACAATGTGGGATCCAGGAGGGAGGATGAAAGAGAATATTGGTTACAAAATGAACATGATAAAGTCCTTGCCTTCCCCATCCTTTAATTTGGCAATTCCATCTCAGTTTTTTCTTTTCTTTTCTTTTTGGAGAGATGGTGTAACTCTGTTATCCAGGTTGGAATGTAATGGTGCAATCATGGCTCATTGTAGTCTTGACCTCCCAGGCTCAAGTGATCCTAACTCCTCAGCCTCCTAAGTAGCTGGAACTATAGGCATGTGCCACCATGTCTGGCTAATTCTAAAAACTGTTTGTAGAGACAGGGTTGCCCAGGCTGATCCTAAACTCCTAGGTTCAAGCAATCCGCCTGCCTCGGCACCCCAAGATGTTGGAATTATAGGTGTAAGGCACTGTGCCAGGCCTGTTTTCTTGATTTTTTTTTCTCTCTGTGGTTATTTTTTTCCTCAATATAATAATCCTTTTCTGAGCTTCATTTTGATACGCCAGTGCAGTGTAATTTCTGGTAATAACGTTACGCCTTATTTCCTTTGGCTTACTTTTTTATATTAGGTCCCTGCCTAGCGGTGGGCCAACTAGTCTATTTTCACAGCTGAACACCAGGCATCTGGTGCTTGTTTAGATTCTCTTGCTCCAGAGACCAAGGCACAAGTTACACAAAAACGGGCCTGTGATATTTAAAGATGTTAAGTAGGCTCAATGGGTAGACTTCACTACTGTTTTCTAGATTTGAGAGAAACAACATTAAAGCTGTGAATATATATAATTTATTTTAGCCACACCATATCCTCCAAGTTTTGAAAATAGTAATGCCACACTTTTATCTTTACTTTTCACTTTATTTTTGCATTTTATTTTTTAAAGTGAAGAACACACAAATGTAGGTGGAATAAAAATTTCATTAAAAAATACAGTTATGAAGATCCCTCCTTTTTATATGTTTGCAATCTCTTTTTATTCTACATAGTGTACTGTTGGCTCAAATATAATTGATATGAAAAAATTTTTAAATAATTGTTTTATAAACTAACAAAATTTATATTATTAAATTACACTGTAAACAACCTTAAGAAGAAACTTCTAGAAGAACTATCAGACACCACGTGATGATGCCCTCCCGTTACTTTAGTTCTTGCTTTACTACCTGATTTCATGCCTCTATTTTTACATGAATCATAGATCTATAAAAGGATTTAGGCATGGATATATTTTAAGCATTTTAATTTACCATCTGCATATTGCATAGTACCTACAAAACAAGATGAAGTATTTTCCTACTGTAGAAAAAATAGCATGTGTGCACACACAGAATATGACCTGTGTTTCTTAGCTTTCACAACAGTGGTAAGAATCACAGCTCTAAAAAAAAATGGTGTATATTCAACAACTGCAGAATTAATTTTTTTCAAGTGCCTGTGGAAATCTACCACAACTGATTATATGCTGGGCAATAAGTTAAGGCTCAATACATTTCACAAATTGGAAGCAGGAAGAGGATGTTTTCTAAATGAGGCAGGAGAGTAAATTCTAAAGGCAGGGAAGCTAAGGCTGTCTTCCTAGAAATGAATCAAAAGGAAAACCCCACCTCTTCACACCCAAGTAACAAAAGGATCAGAGGCTACTCTCTTTGCACTGTGTGGCAGATGAAAAATGGGAAGTACCTCTGATTGGTTCTCTCCACAATCAGACTGGTGAGGGGCCAAGCCTTCATGTGTAACTCTGTAACTTCACTTCAGCCTCTGATTGGTCGCCTCCTCCAACCAATCAGACTGATTGCAGGCCAGTTCTTCATTTACGTAGGATGTAGCCAAATAACCAATGGGAAACCTCTAGGTATTTAAACCCCAGAAAATTCTGTAGCCAGTGCTCTTGGGCTGCTCTGTGGAGTGTACTTTCATTTCAATAAATCCATGTTTTTGTTGCTTCATTATTTCTTTGCTTTGTTTGTGCATTTTGTATAATTCTTTGTTCAAAACGCCAAGAATCTGGGGGACTCATAGTCAAGACTATCCACTGGTAACATGACCATTACAGAATTAAACTAGAAATCTGAAACAAAAATATAACTAGAAAATACATAGAAATCTAGACAAAAATAACTA